GAAAATAATAGGCTTACTATGAATCAATGGTAATTGTCTTAACAGGAATATATTCTTGTTTGCATTTTCAAAAAATAAAAAACTTTTTTTTGCTGGTCTCATTGGATAATGAAAAGGCTCAATTTTCACAAAAGAACTGAAAATTCATATTTACATACTTGCAAAAATAGTTAAGTAAACGATACGTCAGCAGCTTGTGCTAGTATATAAGTGTCGAAGGCATAAAAACAGACGTAGAGTCTCAGGTTTAAATTAATGGCATGCTGAAGACCATATGAAGCCATTTATGTTCGAACTTACATCTCTTAATTTTTGCATTATGTGTTCCTCAAATTTCCAATAAACTGCACACATCTGTTCACAGCGTCCCGTGTTCCGGTCATACAACGCCTCTTCTAGTTTTCCTAGCGAACTGGTGGTAAGTGTGTCTACGGCAGAAGCTAGTTGCTCCATATCGATCTCACGGCAGGCCTCGGCGTAATCCATGAACTCCTGATTAAGAGGAGATCAGACAGATAAAGATTTTTAGTTTAAAGAGGGAATTAAAACATTAGTGAAGATATGAAGACCAGTATGGCGTGGCCTTTTGTATGGTTGCGGACTCCTTCAGTTGTATAGAAGTTATTTAGCAGTTGTTTTAGCAACTTGGTCATATTGGCAGGAAGACCTTGTCCGTCGGCCTTCAGTAGCACGTAAAAAGTCGCCTAATCTGTAGAGCGCAAAGACTGATTCTCCTGCTTGCGGATATTAAGCATAACCTTCACGCATCATCTCCAAGATTAAACCCGTCTATTCTGAGCAAACTGTAGACATCTATCTCTGATCACCTGCTGCATGTCAAATGGATTATTAGTAAATTTATTCATTGTGCCTAATTTCTGTAACCAAATTACTCTCCCTAGTCACGTGACACGTCGGATCTCCAAAGTTGTAGTTATTTATTCGAGCTGACTACACTCATTGAAAACTTCTTCGCTTCATTTCCGAAACTTACTCATCTTTTCTTCCTTGCGATCCATTTTTCTCTGGTTTACGATAGATCTTTGTTCGCAACTTGGTCATATTCGCAGAAAGACTTAGAGGAACGCCCATAGTCCGGAGTCCATTGTGTGCATAATAATTTTCAGTCGGACAGTGAACGTGGTACATTCCCAGACGTTTCGACGGCATCATAGTCGGCATCGTCAGTAAGTCTTGCCAGTCTTAGCACCATACCACAATTCCTCAAAGAGACAAGGGAGGCCGATCCTTTGATCAAATGCGTGCAAAATAGTTGTAGTATCTCTCCTTCAGTCCTGGGCTATTCGCCTATCCTATTTATTCGAATCACGCCTTCACTATCACAATTTTTT